GGAACGCGGAGCAGAGCCCCAGCCGCGCAGGCCCGAGGGGCCATGCAGTAGTCGCCACCGCCACTGCGCAGGCCCGGGGGGGCTTGTTCTTTAATTTTGACCAGAGAGAAAGGGAAAGTGAAAAAGCAAACTGCCAGGTCCAGGACTTGAACCATGGTTGGCCATGTGGGAATCCGGCACCTCAACCACCATGCCACCTGCTGGTCCCTTATATGGCAAAAATTTTTAAAAGTAAATAAAAATAAAATGTCTGTGGGCAAGATGCGTGGTATATCTTTTTTTTTTTTTTTTTAGAATTGTTTATTTAGTTTGGGACCAGCAGTTAGTGTAATGGTTGTGTCACTGAAATCCCACGTAGCATCCCACGTAGCCAACCGCGATTCGAGTCCTGGACCTGGTGGCTTAAACTCACTCCGGGCGCACGTGTGTGTGTGTGTGTGTGTGTGTGTGTGTGTATGCCCAAGATCCCGAGAGGAGGGGGGATTGCAACAGGGTCATCTCCCCTGGGGGATGATTTCTCGCTTTCTGTCTCTCTTTCTCTGTCTTTCTGGCGAGCGCACACGCCCTGTAGCAAAAACCTCTCAAGAAAAAAAAAAGAATCGTTTATTTGGTCCAGTCTGCCTCTCTCTTTCTGTGCAGGTAGCATGCCCACAAACATGGTGAAAGGCCCTGAAACCCACCAGACCTTCTGTAAGAAGTGTGGCAAGTGCCAACCTCATAAAGTGACATAGTACCAAAAGGGCAGGGATCCTCTGTAAGCTCAGGGACAGCGGCGTTATGGCAGGAGAGAGTGGCTGTGGTGGGCAGACTAAGCCTATTTTCCAGAAAAAGGCAAAAACGACAAAGAAGATTGTGCTGAGGCTTGAATGTGTCGAGCCCAACTGCGGATCTGAGAGGACGCTGGCTGTTGTGAGATGTGAGCATTTTAAGCTGGGAGGAGATAGGAAGAGAAAGGGCCAAGTGATCCAGGTCTGAGCGTCACCTTTTTTATTATGAAGATGACAAATCCTGACGTGCATGTTCACCTCATTTGATTACAGTTGGACTGTTGAGAGGGAATAAAGTAATCAATAAAATTCCCCTTTTGGGGAAATTTGATTCATGGTTTTTAAAAAAAGAGAGAGAGAATTATTTATTTTATTCATTCATTTATTTTAATCAACTGGAGAGAGACACAGAAGGAAAGTGAGAAAGCAAGCTACCAGGTCTAGGACTCAAACCACAGTCAACCATGTGGGAGTGTCCAGTGCCTTAACCACCACGCCTACTGGCCCCGTGTGGTGTATCTTTTAAGATATCACAAACATTATCTAAGAATGCTCCGAAGCATCTCTGACTCGTTGTACAAATGAATAGAGAATAGTGACTTTACAGCAGAAACTCCATGACAAATAACCAATGTATTTTGCACTATGTCCTCAGCAGTATTATTGTTTTGTAGGATAAATTTAAAGACACTCAGCAAATTGTCTTTGACTCCTAAAATAAACTCACATTTTATAAAATACTCTTACTTTAGTCTTTCCCAAAGGAAGAGAAAAACTCACCCAGGGCTTGTTCGGCCTTTCTTTTTTTTTTTTGAGAGAACAGAAAGCGAGAAATCATCCCCCAGAGGGGATGGCCATGCCACAATCCCTTCTCCATTTACTCTCAGGAGCTTGGGCGCACACGCACTCAGCGTGAGTTTAAGCCACCAAGTCCGGGACTCGAACCTCAGTTGCCTACATGGGAGTCCAGCAGCATAATCATTACACCAGCTGCTGGCCCCAAGCCTTTCTTACTGTTAATAACCATTTTCTAGTTACTCTTTTTCCTTTTTTTTTTTCTTTTTGAGAGAATTTTACTATAGGGTGTGAGCAGTCACCAGACAGACACAGAGAGACAGAGAGACAGAAAGCGAGAAACCACCCCCCCTAAGGGGGATAGCCACACTACAGTTCTTTCTCCATTCTCCTCTGACGGGGCCATGCAGACAACACAAGCTGGTAAGGAGGCTGCCTTTCATTTTAAGGCAAGGCCTAGACTGGGAAGAAACTGAGGCAGGGCCCAGTTAACGAGCCCTTCCTTGTGTCGTTTACTGGCCTGTCCTTAATTTTTTTGCCATGAGTTTTATTGTTATTACGGTACACTGCAAGAGTAAGATATTACCTCCAACTATTACAATAAAGCCAATTAGTGATCTTGTAGTAATGTGGTTTTTTTATGAGGAGGGCCAGGAAGTATGAGACTCTCCCACTTGTCTATTTTAAGCCAAAATTAACATTTGTTAGGTCAAATTAGTATAAACCAAATTAGCATTGGAAGCATATGTAGATTAAATTAGTTTAAGGCTAGTTTTATGTAAATTATCTTTGTTAAAGCTACAGGCCAAAGTTAGCTCATGCTAGGCAAAGTCAGCACATTTACCCAGAGATAAAACAAAAGAACTCACTAATTGAACACAAGAAAAAAAAAAAAAAACCCTTTTTTTTTTTTTTTTTTTTAAGAAAGGAAAAGCCTGACTGGCAAGGACAGGATGAACAAACCTGAGGGCTCTAGAGAAAGATTAACCATTTTAGCTGGGAGTTTTTATCTAAATCAATAGGTAGCTTTTAACTATAAAGAGTTTTTCATCTATGTGCTGTTGACTATGAAAAATTGCTAATAAAACATCCAGTGTTGTCTCCTGAGCTACAAGATCATTTTCTTTTCCCATATAAGATTATAGACTTATCCTCTATTGTTGTAATGTATAGATAGTCCATATATTAACTGTGTCTTTATTTAACAAGACAAGATTTCTATCTAGGTCTTTGTATTTAGCAAAGTTATTAAACTGGCCCGGGACTGAAACTATCAAACATCCTGCAAGCCTCCTCTTCAAAAGACCCTTTCCAAGGAACCAGCAGTTAGCATAATGGCTATGTCGCTGGACTCCCACGTAGTCAACCGCGGTTCGTGTCCGGACCCGGTGGCTTAAAACTCACGCCGGGCGCGTGTGCGTGCGTGCCCAAGATCCCGAGAGGAGAATGGAGGAGAAGGGAT